ACACCAAAATGTCGTGTACTGTAAGATGAGAACTTACTCTTAGTATCAGTTATTGTATGGTTCCTGTAAATCTTTTGCCTTGGGTACGTTCCTCCTCATGTAAATATACTCGTACAAAGGAAACCTATGCATAAATGCATCAACGGCATCCCGTTCTGTCTTTATCTATACACAGAAAACTCTACTGTTTTCGAGTGCTCACCATTCGTTCAATATGTCCATATACATATATATCTTACCTGTATGAACTGGCTGAATAATGTAGCAAAAATAGGAGACATATATCAAAACGACCACAGACTTTCCCATGACGTTGACTCTTGAACTCGTCGCATATCACGAAACGTTCTTCCTGGTTAAACACCACCTGCACATGAAGGACATGCAATACAGAAACTATGTACAGGTCACGTGGCACAGGTGCCTATCAACATGATATGAACTAAATCATGTGAGAGACAGGCTGGCGTGAGAGATAGCCCGCTGAATGAAACTATGTCCCACACGACCTATTTTCTACTTGTTTGGATGGGGCGTTAAAACGATACAAAAGCTATGAAATTTTTAGTACTACTAATCAATCTCTTTTGGATAAGTCTAGTGACCAAAACCGCGCTGTTACACTCGAGACCCGGCTTCGATTCCCCAGAAGTATATTATGATTATGCTAACATTTATAGCACCTAAATCAAGCTCAGCTGTGCTGCTCAAAGGCGCTTTGTTTTTCCCTCGATCACTGGATGTTAAACTCAACGGCACGTCGTATTATCAGTCTCAACTCCCATGGGAGCATGCAACTCTTGTAGCCACTAGACGCAGCGAGTTAGTGTGACTTTCCCATCCTTACGAGGTACCCATTTACTGCTGGGTTAACTGGGACACATAGTCACACTAGGGGTTGTGACAACACTGACTGGGATACATAGTCACACTAGGGGTTGCGGCAACACTGAAAGTGTCTGCACACAAAGTTCACTCATAGAATTGTTACACCGGGTCACAGATGGGCTCGATCCCGTCACCTCAAGCTCTGGTGGATCACTAGCCTGGCACCTTAGCCAGCTCGCACACCACGCCCCCAGGTATATAATTGGTATAATTGGACAAACATGATATTCGGGGAAGACTGCCAGAAAAAACTGTTCACTCACCAGTTTTTGTGTTATGCATCATCTGGTAGGCTTTGAGCTAGAAACAGTTCCATCTCATCCTAACAGGACATGGTCCCTTCCCTATTCACCAGTTTTGTGCGGCCATGGGAGCTTGTAGTACATATTGCGTAGTACAGGTCACGTATCTTCGCAGAATCAGGGCTAATTTTGTGAAAGTATTGAAAATCAAAATGAAAATGTAGCTATGCTCTAGTCTATTAACAGCCATCACAGTATTTATCTTAAACGTTATCTGTGTGGAATGTCTTCAGGTTGCCTACAAGGAAGTTGTGGGGCGTTTGTGAAGGCCATATTGATGTCATACTTTGTGAAACACTGTCGCCTGACTGATCATCCTCAACGACACAATAATTTGTACAATGATCCGTTGTTACCACCTTAGTACACGACCGCATTGCATGGTTGTAACTACTGCACTAACTAACACTCTTAGAGATCTAATGTTACACGAAATCTTACTGGAAAACACCTTCTGGCTATAGACTACTCTCTGACGGACAGTGGTTAAAAGGATAGGTCATATTGGATGGATATTAACTACAACGCAAACAGATCCCCCTCCCACACACACACACACACACACACACAAACAGATAGCTCTGCATATATCTTCTTTGTTAATGGGGATTTGTCGGAGGACGTCTAGACGTGTGTTCATGTTCATTTAGCAGGGGAAATTTGTATCACTCACACTCTGTTGATACATCAACATGTAAAGTCAGGGTGTTGATGCTTTTCAAAATAATAATTGAACCCTACGTATTCCGTCTTTAGTAATTAGTGCGTTTGTGAAGAAAACCTCGGATAACTCGAGATATCTACGCAGGTACATTCGACACAACGGTGGTTGACTGCAGATTGGTATATCAGTTGTCTCGGGAACCATGCCGTCTGAGTTGCTGGATATTGTTGTGCAGAGTTGAACCATAATGACGTGTGACAACATGTAACTATGATCGAGGGTTGCATGTGTTAATGTACCTGTGCGGCGAGTATCACTAATCAGGTAAAATCTACGGTCTGCAACACTTCGGACTTCAGGCTTCATTTAGCAGGCCCTTAAGACAGAGTCCTTCTGACACAAGTGAGAAATCAAATACATCGCCGCTTCACCATTGGCTGCTGATGTAACTTTTCGATAGAAACTTCAAAATTCAAATTTCGAGCTAATTTTGAAAATATTCTGATTGTCACAAACTGTTTTGAATATTGGAGCCGACATAGAATAGCCTTTGTAGCCGACATTTTTCCTCAGATAAGTAGAGAATCTCACCCAGTAGTGCAATTTGATATCAATTATATCAACACGAGTTTTAAAGTTACAAATATCCGAGGCTTGCCGAGGATATATTTTACTTTGTCAACGAGTGTTGATATATTGATATCAGAAGACACGAAGGGTGAATCTTTATCATCAAAATCACTCTTCATTAATTTTCAATGGTAAATGTACATCCATGAACATGGTACTGCCATTACACTTGTAGTGCAGCGATGTCATAGCATTAGTGACGTCATCAAATTACATGACGTCATAGCATTGTCAGGGCATTGTACAAAATCTACTGTCAAAACGATATCTTCTAGGAGATATCGTTTGATCTTGTTATATCTCCCGTGGAACGGCAGTTTTGGATGATAATATGTTCCGAACGCGTGGCAAATGAAAACAAAATCTTTACTTTCATAAATGATGGTAAAGGAAGCTGGAAGAGATATACACAAACCATCACAGACAGTAATCAAGAGTGGTATTTGATTTTAATTAACAACATAAACGAAATTAATATCATTTGAATTAACGGAGTAAACAGAATGACACCATCCATGAAACACTGCATGGACATACGATATTATACGAGTAATGGTTGTTAAGTGGGAATACAGTCTCTGCTCGTCAAAGGAAAGACATGCAAATTTACAGAAGGGCCTAATAGATACAACTGCAGGGATAACATTTGGCTTGATATTACATATTGCAGTTTTCATATCAAAGCGACAATATCGATCTGAGTTATTTACACAGTAAAATGTACACATGTATCTGTTGTTCTTATGCACGCCTATGAATAGTTCTATCGAAGTAAAAGCAACAGCAGGTATGAACCTCAAAGATAAAATATGAAAAATAGAGTGCTGAAAGATTCGTGCTGTTTGTTGTTTAGCAAAACGACAGGTATATAACAGCGCGGTATGTTAAAGGTCGAGTGTAGATCAGACAATCCAGTGATTAACTTCATGAGTATTGACCAACGCAATTAGGATACGATGACGTGTCAACAATGTCAGCGAGCATGACCATCCGATCCTGATAGTGGCCCATTACGACAAGCATGGGTTGCTGAAGATCAATTCAACTAACAGGGAATATGTAATCGTCGGTGGACACTAAATTGTATAAGATCTGGCCACTCTCAGAGTCAACACATTCAGGAAAGTATGCATCAGGAGCAAGTTTATCGTCATCGTTATCGTCGCCGTCGCCATCGCCATCGCCGTTGTCATCTTCATCAGAGTCACAGTCTGAAGCCGCACCACTCACCAGTTTTGTATCCGTTATCCAGCTACATCACTGGGATGGCTATAAGATAATTATCACGATTTTCGATCATGTTCTTTTTACATTTACAAATTCGTGACTGATAAAATGGATGAAAGAGGTAAATCAAATGTTTTGGTAATCTGTGGTAGCCGTTGACCCATGTGTAGTATCCTCTTGAGATCTTGAGGTCTGTTCGATAATGGCATAGTTGTTGACATCAGCTCTTGCTGACAATCCGGAGTAAGTTGGGTGTTCAACAGAAGCTGGCGTGTCTCCTTGTTTCTTCGCAGTCAGATCGTACCGACGTCTGAAAAGACAGATAATTTGTCATGTAAATGTCTTTTCTTTGGTAAATAATCTAATCCCTATTCTTAGTTTTTCTGTACTTTGATAGGATGGATTTCCGAAGTCACTCATACACATCCCAAATGAGATAAACGGCTTGACAGACATTTTGTGAATGCTTTCCAATATACCTGATAACGAGGACGTACACTGCAAGACCGACCAGGATGACAATAACAGCTCCCGCAGCCACCCCTCCTATAAACACACCAGCTGAAACAGAAAACTGCCACTGTGTATTGTGCAGAGATCAACTAGAGCACTCTTTACTTATATTTGATCAAAATAACATTTAACACAGGCCAAAACATGAGTCTTTTCCATGAACTTAATCATCGGTGTTTTTACTTCACAAGGCCAACACCACTTGAAATAGAGAACAAAATTCAATTTTGTACAAAGCTAAAACAAGTTGAGGTATGAACACGCAAATGTAATATTTTCAGTTGAATGAATTAAGCTATATTCATGAAAGCAACTTTTTAACATTAGAATGTAGTCATCTGTCTGCAGGTTTAAACCACTGTGTATAGGTTCCCATACAGTGAATAATGCATACGTGGGAATCTTATTTGGCCATCCTTTTGGCCAAGTTGTGATCTCCCTGTGGAAAAAACACGAATATTTTTATCAAAACAGTAACCAAAAATACATATATAAAAAAATGATCATGCAATCGTAACTGAGGAACAAGTCAATGTCAATAGTAAATCACACACACACACAAAAATATGAAAAGACGCCTTTTTACATCACAATTTTAATGATAAATACTATTAATATTATGATGACTACAAGGAAGTATGTGTGATTTAACGACATGACAAGCATCATTGTATGATCCGTCCAGGGATTTACAACGAGACTGCTTTGCAAGAGTGTGAGTATATCATTTTCCCTTGAACAGTTATGTTAGAAATCCTGCTGTAAATACTACATGCCTGAGATTTGTTGAGGCGTGGATGGTGGAGACCTGTCATTAGTTGATTCAGTGGTGATTCCTCCTGTCAAAAAGTGGACATCTAAATCTTCAGCAATGAGTATAAACAAACGATAGAAATCAGCATATGAGTATACATGGAATACAAATTAGGCACTGCTTTGTGAACATATTTACAAAAGCTATTTATACACTAAAAAGCACATTTTAGCACCACAGAATACAAGATCTTCAATAGATAAAGAAAGATCAAGTTAACAGGTCATAGACACAACAAATGTGCTCCAATGCAGGTTACTTAAGACATGTTAATTTTTTCATACTTTGCAAATATATGTTTTGATTTTAGAAATTACCATTCAGTAATGGTTCCCATGTGGTTTTCTAACATGGTCCTCAGTTCATCGCGCATCCAAAACATTAACTACTTCAATAACATCTACATGAAAGGACATATAGAGGGAAATACCTGTGAGAATTATATGAGTGGATAACTGAAAATCAGTGATGACACCAGGTGTTTAATCCGTTGCATCAGAAGGTTGTAGGGAGATAATCCACAATACTGAGTTTAGTTTACGTCGGCGGGGAACACCAGAAATGGGCTTCACACATTGTGCCCATGTGGGGAATCGAACCCGGGTCTTTGGCGTTACGAACAAACGCTTTAACCACTAGGCTACCCCATCGCCCCTAAATCCACATTATGATATGACAAGTTAGTATTAAAATGCAACATTCGCAATATCTGTGTATACACCTTTTATTTCATTTTACAGCTAAATACAGCACTTGTTCTGATATCATAAGAAATTTCATCGAGAAACTCTTTGGAATAACAAAAGAGGACATGTGATACACTTCAATATCACTTCTGTACATTAATCATTTCAAAGGACTGCATTGAAGATGTATATAGTGCATCTAGTTTGAGTGATTCAAGCAAAGGCTTGCGTAAAACCCGTAAGGTTTCAGTGCGTGGCAGCCATTGGTTCAGTTGCGAAGTAACTATATTATCTGAAACTGATAATATTGATAACTGTCATGAACTGCCCAAAGGAAGCCTCGACCAAACTCTTGCATTCTACACCGAAACGTCGCATTCATTGCAATACAGAAGTTAATCCACAGAAGAATATCCATAGAAATTGGTGTTCCTTTAACGTGCACTTGTTTTTTGACAGAAAGTATATTTCTATATTCAAGACTGAGAAGAAGACCTATATTTCAGAACAGAGAATGCATCTTACTGGAAAGTTACCAGCCATTTGAGAGTGTTTTGTGTTTGTCTTAGCTAGTCAGCTTGACGGGGAAACCGTATTCACATGATCAGTTTGTAAAATGTTGATAGATATTGACACATATACTGCGTGATAGATAGAAGCGACAACCCTTCCACATTCATAAGAACTCACTGCTAAAAATAGAGTCGATTGTACAATTGTGACTATATCATAAGCAGATATTTGTTTCAGCAGCATTACAGCATGTATGATGCTGTTTGTAACACAGGAATAGATTTCATGGATTCACATGAGAAACTTTGGAATCTATTTAGATCACTGCCGGGGTCTGTCAAGGGCTCGACTAAACATTATGGAGAATCTCTGAAATATTGAACTGCATGTACTGGCAAGTTAGATCTTTCGCTTCTGTACATTGGTAATTCTGAAATCAAATTCTTCATGGTTTCTGCATATGTATAGAAGATACATGATATGCTCTGTTATGGTCTAAACCATCAACTTTGGTCCCATCCGTGAAGATACGGGTAAGAAAAGATCTTCAATAGCCCATGCATGTCCTTAGAGGCGACTAATGAGATCGGGTTGCCAGGCTCGATGACTTCATTGACACAAATCATCGTATTGTAATTGCGCAGACAGATGCTCATGATGTCAATCACTGAATTGCCTGGTTACGTACTGGTTACATGCCGCCGTCATATATGTGGAATATTGCTGATTTCGGCGTAAACTAAACAAAACTTTGGTCATCACGTTTGTCTTTCTGTTTGTTATTTATTCAAAGCGCCTCAATCTGGAGTCATGATTCAGGTTTCACTATTCTAGATTTCATCCTATATCCGTGTTCGTTATAACCATGTTAGTTGTACCTGAATTACCAACCTATTGGTAATTTTGAATACAACGTATAATATATACGAAGTACACATTAGATCTACTGCCAATAGCATATTAACATATACGTGTCTACTAGAACGCATACATGTCTATATTACTGTGTCGACTGTAGTTCATTAAACCTTTTCATATGCTACTGATTGGTATATTTATCCGTTAGCATTTGAAATACACTTTAAAAATCAATGTTACAAGTATCTGTGATTGTAACGTTCAAGTAACAAGATGGGGTGTTCGCGAGCGTTAACAACGGTTTGTTTTATCTTACATTGGCTCCAGTTGTCAAAATGTTCGTAAATAAGTTAGTCTTACCTAATAAATTGTTGAGTTTTCTTACTTGAATCAGATGCAATATGAATATTTAGAGAATTTAATCACGTTGCAAACAATATACACTTAAATGATCTGGTGTGACGAAGTCGTGCAAACTCGTAAAAGCGTGAATATATTTTGCAGCGTTTGTGAAAATGTTTCTATAAATTCAAAGTTATTTCACAGCATTCCAGCTTCCACTGACAACTGACATGTTAAAACAAGAAATACACGAGTGGTAAGCTGTGAAGGAAAGAACCATATAAACAGACACAGAAATGTAATATGTAATGATTCATACTTTACGTTTAACGTTATACGAGTGGGTATAATGCGTGCAACATGAGTGCTGTTGTCCATAGTCACAGTTGAAATTACGTTATAGGTCATCGTCAGCATCGTTGTTCTGCTCGATCCTATGATACAAGAACACATACTGAAATTAGAAGTGCTATCTATCTATCTTTCTGTCTATTACTCTGTCGGTCTGTCTCTCTATCTATATGTCTGTCTTCAGGTATGTTTTAAGTGTATGCAACTAAGGCTCTACAAGTTGGATAATTAAAGTACAATGCAACATTTATCGTTACAAGACACTTGGATGAATCTGGTGAAATTATTGACACCACTGATTCTCCCTATAACGTTATTAATTTTGAATCACCTGATGATATTACGCCTGAAGGATCACGTTACAATAATTCTTCAACAGCTTATGCTTGTCATAAGAGGCGACCCACAGGATAAGGTAGTCAAGCTCGCAGATTCGGTTGATGCATGTCATCGTAACCAAAATTCGCAGATCGATGCTCATGCTGTTGATCACTGATTTGTCTGGTCCACACCGCCGTCGCCGTTAAACAAGAAACAATCCCGATAATAGGCTGTAATCTGTAGAGGAAACATAGTTGGCTGTTGTCACGGTGCTTGTGCCTGTTTCACCAGAGACACACGTTGGTTTAGTTCAGATACAGGAGTTACAACGGCCCTGGGTGCATGGATACATGGGGAAAATAGAATGGACATATCTAGTGGTTGCCTACCTGGGGTCGTCCGTTCCACAGTTTCACATGTCACATTAAACGGTTCTGATGCTGAAAATGGAATAACAAATTGTATGTAACATACAACATCTATGACTATACAGATCGCAATACAATAAACACCAAAAAACAGCAACAATGACAGCAAGTGAGAAAAATAACAGCTGATGGTACAGTGCAGCCTCAAACACGCTGAAACGTTTATTCTGGTCAATTAACATTCACCTTGACACGTATATTCCTACAGTGAAGGACTGATGAATTGTATTTGGAAATACAGTGAACATATACGTGACTGACAAATCTCGGGTTGTGTACAATAATTACGGCATGCCAATTCCTCAAGTCTTTTATACAAATTGTGTATAAAAGCATACATTATGTACCGGTCCTTTCTTACCATTGACCAGAAGCCAAATGAATCCTGATAGCAGCCTTGAGATACCTTTAGAGGAGATGTACAGGGGAGATTGCCTGTGTTACGTTCAGTCTCTCAAACGGTTGGAACACTGTTGAACAATTACTGGTTGCGATGTAGTTCCCATGCAGGACAGACATCTGGGAAAAGCATTGCCCTGGAGTTCCTAGTCCCAGCCTGGCGTCAAGGACGTACACGGATATGCTTTCAGTATTGAGTTCAGACTTGAAGTTGCACACATACATGTTGGTCTGTTGTTCAGAAATGGGCAACACTTTGTGGAAAAGGGAGACTTGAGAAACACCCTCTGCAGAACCACCGCTGATGTTCAGGGAATCACCGTCTGGAACATGCATGATGTCAGTCATTAAATACTATAAGATTAACCAGGAAACCATGACTAAAATATTCTAATCATGTTCGCTATTATTCAAGGAGGTGATTAATTAAAAACATGATTGAGATTTCACCTTTTAATGTGTTTAGAATTTCTGTTAAAATACATTTCTGACTTTTTTGTTCTTATGCAACAATGATTTCATGAAAAACGATTCCGAGAATGGGAGAATGTTGTGTTGAAATTGGCAGACAGGGCGATATTCTAATAACGCTCTTAATAAGCTGAATCAAGTTTAAATGAGTTGAATGTTGTGTCATGATACTTATTAACATCCAAAACATGAATTTTGAGGAAGCGTAAATAATTTCGCCCATGGGCCACTGTTTCAATTTTGAGTTTTCGAAAAAAGTGAAAAATAAGACAGGTAAATATACTACAATAACCATTGTTGCCGTATGCATAGGTTGTAATTTGTTTTGTTGTTGTGTTGAAAAAGTAAGAGCAGTACGTTTGTACAGGTAACAGTGTAATGGCCATCTTTGTTGTGTGGCACTGAATGATTTGACGCATAGATATGAATGTAGTTTCTTAACATGTGACATATTACGATAAATTAGTCTAGTAACCGAACACAAGATTGTACTCTGAGAATATATGACATATATCAAGCGACTCTCCATTTATTAAACATCTGTCATCGCACTGTTTTTCTACCCGATGTCTAAGATTCAACATAAACAGAACCTGTCTGTGGATTTATTGTGGTATGATGGACCAAGCGAGTGAGTTTGGTGTAACTTCACTTTGAACAGGGTTCCAGTTGTATCACGGATTGTCAGCTTGATGAGGCCGGTAAACCACACTGGACGTCTGAGACGTTTATAACTTTAATGATAATCGGGGCGAACCGATATAGGAACCTACGGCCACATGAATGACTTGCCTTAGGCGACGGGGCCTACTGAAACCCTGTATGGCTTTTGAAGCAGAAAGAATACATTACAGATATCAAGTCAACCAAATTAAATGTATTCTGCGAACATATTCTCTGAATAGCCGTGCCTTGATTTCTAGGAATCCTTCTGATTAAACAGGAACTGTTTAAGCACCCCTGAATCCGGTCATCACATACATTTACTGTATAGTTCGTGTTGGTAATGTGATTTGTGGTTGTGTGAAGTCTGTCGTCCAGATGATAATAAGTCATGTATGTGTTACGATCAATATTGATCAATTATACATGATATTCCTCAACTGGCACAAGAGCATTGATAATCTTGAAATTACAACACATTCAATACATTCTCAAATATGGCCTACGACCCCTTCGTCCGCGCCCCAAATACTCGGAGGTAACATCCATTACACTGCGAATATTACGCTTAAAGCTTTGTTGTATATTCAGAACTATAAATTTGATCAACTGAAAACCCAAAACCACAACATCTTAAGCATATTACGCAAATGAACCAAAAGATTACACAAATATAGTCATTATAACAGAAAATTAGGTTTAATGTGGTCACGAATATATCGCAATTCGTGCGCTCGTCCGATTGCAATGCAACTTGAAGAAGCACCAGGCCATTTTGAAATTAGGCTCACCCCGTCGCTATACTGTTTGTAGCCCTTATTACAACACTCACCTTAATGAGACATTAACTACACGATAAGGTGTGAGCTCTTACAGGTTTCATGTAAACGTTTTGGCTTTTATAGTCAAATAAACATTGCTGGGTGACTGTTACACAAATGTAGAAACTCGCCATTGTATTTTATTGCAATATGTAAGATTTACCTCTACAAATTGATGGAAGGATGTAGTAAAAGGAGGTTATACATGTCTAAACGACCAGTGACTTCGCCATAACGTTGATTGCTTAACTCGCCAAGTTATGCTCATCTTGAAAGATACAGAGCACGGTCTGCATTATAACTTACTTCCTGGTTACATCCGGCTAAATGTAGGTCAAGTAGTACAGAGTTTTAACGCGATATGCATTCAACCAACACGTTATCAAGAGTATGAGTGGTGCGAGATAGTTCGCACAATGAGGATTTGTTCAGCCCTTAGCGACTTTTTAAAGTGTATTGCTCACTTAAGGTACACAGGTCAAGCAATCCCTCGTGTAAATGATATAAATCTTGGCCACCACCTACTAGGAGAGGGCTCTAAACATGTACTGTCTTGTTTCTGTGTTCCTGCTTTCTAAAACTCCATTTTTACCAGTCCTTTCGTGTGGGGCAGAGCAGGTGACCAGCTGGCACATATTAGTGGGACGGTGTATAATTACATATGCATGGCAACAATGTCCTTCGATTTCACGTCACCTCAAGCAGTGAGATGTATTACGTAATCACCTGCCATTGATTATCTTTTAACTTAGCTACTTTTACTTCTACCAGTACCAATAAGATTTCAAGAAAAACATATTCTGAATCGGATGGTCATGGTCGTTGACTTGGTAGACACATGTCATCGTATTCCAACTGCGTAGATCGATGCTCCTGCTGTTGGTCACTGGATTGTCTGGTCCAGACTCGAACATTTACAGACCGCTGTCATACAGCTGTAGTGGAGCGTTTACGAAGGCAACATTGCCGTTTACTGATAAATCTCCGCGAATTTACACAGCAGTCGTGAATCATTTTTACTTCCACACTGCATGGTAACTGAAGCTAATGCACTAACTAACGAAGGAAACTACTGCCACGTACTTTGTGATCTAATGCCACAGGATAACTGGACAATAGTGGTCACACAGATAGGTCATATTAGATGGTGTTAACGACGAACGCAAATATGCCTTTTAAATGAATCTACAACGCATGCATGCAGACAACTACCTCAAAGCCAGGCTTTTATAATATTACCTTCTTTGTTGAAACAAGCAGCAGACTTCAGAAGTGTGTTCGTATCAATAAGTCTGCTGAAATATGCATCACTCATAGGGCTGTAACGATGCATTGAACTATCGATGGATTGCAATTGTTGAGTCTCCGATAGCAATTGATCGATGGTAGAAACGAAAAACTATCGATGCATCGAAAATATGTGTGACTATGGATGCAAAACACAAAATACAGGAAGTGCCAGATTCTTTCACTTTGATTTAGAAATATCCGCCCCTGTTACCTCTTAAACAAACATGACTATTTTCTTGTCAGTTATTAAAAGAGACTTAAACTACTTCAACTTATTTTTATTTCATATAAACTATACATTCATTTCGGAAATGACTTCAAATTAGACAATTCAAAGAGAAAAAACTACTGCAATAGTATTTCAATAGTTGGTCGCAATAAATTATCGCTATCGCAATAGTATGTTGCAATAGACTACCCCTATCGCAATAGTTGTTGCCCCCTAAATAGTCACCCCTAATCACTTACACGGTGTTGCTACAACTACATACACAAACACCAGTGGTTCAATGGTGGCTCGCCTGTTAAAAGGTGGACATACGTTTACATTGTAGTTTGTTTTACTTGGCCAGCAGAAGTTTGAGTACAAGCGAATGACACACACACACAAAAACAAACAAACAAAATATATAGTCTTGTATATGAAATAAATATATCATGAACATTATTCCATGAGATTCTCATAAAATGTTGAACACATTTTGTCACATCGAATTGACAGGTCTTTAGAGGATTCAGATCTTCAATAACGTTTATCGTTGCAGGTGAAAATCTCAGGTAAATAGGTCAGTGGCGATTTTTGTGTATTTTGAGCACAAAATGTAGTTATGCAACATTTACATAAGGACAAAGGGCATCAGTTGTAAAAATGCATCATTGAGGAAACTATTTGGTAACCATTACTTATCTCTCAAGTTTAAACTATACGGGTAAACATGTGCACATGCTGGTTATTTGGTGGCACCCCATTAGTCATACGACCCATTAGTTATACGCGTTAAAGAAACACATGTCATGGATGAAATCTTGATATCTTGACTTTTTTCTTATTTGGCACCATACAGTCAGTCAGTTTCACTACTGGCGGATACAGATATTTAGCAACGTTTCCTGGCCGGCTTGATGTCACATACTCTACTCAAGTAAACCTCCCATAATGACGAATAAGTGACGATTCTTCCATCTTAGGTAAATATATATATTGTTATACTCAAAGTCTCACATATCTCGGAATATAACTTCATAAAAATGGACAGTACAAGCACTCACCAGGAAATCCAGAGGTGCTGATCATAGATTAAAGCGATCGGTCTTTTGGGATGACATTCCAGTAAAACTAACAATACACCTTGACTAAATGTTCTATATAGATAACACAACAAATGTCATCCTAAAAGATGCCTTGGAAGCAAATGTCAGTCTTTGTGATATAGCCTGGTTATATACAGTTAATAAAATAAAGCAAACTTTTCAAATGGTGAACAAGAATAAATGTAACCTATGTACTGTTATAAGGTAAAAAATGCATCCCTAAATCAGTAAGTGAAGTACATCAGACTCCGTGTGTAGATTTGCAGTTTGGCTCATGATGGATAACGTCTAGACGCTGGGAGGAGACAAAGTCTAAGAGAATAGTCGTAAGTTAGAAATGTATACGTCGCTTGAGACAGAACCCAATAACAGATCAATAAAAATTGGGGGAGTTACCGAACTGTAGTTACCGATAATTTTCCAATCATAATATTCATGAGTACTAGGACGGATATAGGATTAACGAATCAAAAGGATGGGTTGAAACATGTGATCAGGATCAGGCCAGGCTCGAACCATATAAAAAGATAGGTTTGGCACTGAGCGAGGTGTGCGCGCTTTTAAGTGACCGAAGCCAGTCCACGTCACTCAGTTTCCTGTGTGGTACGAGCCTATCCTGTCTGTTGATGAAGTTGTAGTAAGAGATGGATTGAGACAGAGAAAACAACTATGTGAGTATAAACTTTGTTTTGCGTTTATCTATGAATGTATGTGTGCCAGTACATGAATGTTATGTGGCTAGTTGGGAGTCACGGTCGTCCGACCCCTCACTCCTGGACTTAGCATCCTGCAACGGACCAAGCGAGTGGAGCGCCAGAGCTACCATCTCCCGGAAATATGTGGAACGACCATAATTACTAGGTAACTGGGGTAGGGTTTACTGAAGCCCAAACGCCAGTTTCGACAGTACCATAAATAAACTCCAGTCCATGTGTGAAGACATGTTCAAGCATTCATTAAGCGATTCTCATGCCTCAAATAACAAATTCAGAACATACAGATTAGTCAAGTCATCTATAAAACTTGAGAATTATCTATTTTGTAAAAACAAAGCTCATAGATCACATTTCTCAAAACGACGGTTAAATAGAACTGGTAGATATACAAAACCTGCAACACCATTACAACGACGTCTCTGTGAAATATGTTAGTTGCCTCTTACGACAAACATGGACCAATTCCAACCCGGATCTTCACGGGTCTATGCAGCCTTGGTATTTCCTGTATCGAAGTGGAGCGCTTGCACTTATAGAATTGTGGTGTACTGGGTTCACAGACTTGAAGATGGTGAAGATTCATAAGGTTTATTCACATTAACCTTTAACATGCCGTGTCGGCCATTACAGACCATCCCAAGATGCTTGGGGCCAGGGAGCGTTCCTTTACATCCGCTCTGGGGACCATTAATTAACAAAAGTGTATTTTCACATTAAGTCACTGTTACGTGAACACAACATCCCCCCCCCCCCCCCCCTTTTAAGCTTGCTGCTCATAATTATGCAAAACATGAAACATTAACTTGAAATGCCTTTGAGGAATTAAAGTGAAGTCTGTGCTTGGCTTGCTCATTGCCATTTAAACTGTACTAGAATATAACACTCAAATAACATCACAACGCGATGAAGCAGTAATTGCTTCAGTTACTGTTCAGTCACTGATTTCACAGATCCAGTCTCACTGGTGGTTTGACACTGCGTGCTGATCGCCTTAACACGGGTTGAGGAATGTCCTTGATTGCAGATGGAGGTTGCAATGACCTATGTACAGATGGTGAAGGCATGTCAACTTTATCACTGCTGATTGACACACTAGTATTAGGGATCAGCATGTCAGGCAAGCCAACTGGATGTGAAACAGTCTCTTCTGCATAACGTCGTTTGACGTGATCCAAGTGACGTCTCATTAAACGTCCATCTGACAGTCTCACTTCACACAATGAGTCAGAAGACTTCGTCATCACAATACCAGGGATCCAAGGTGAACCATGTCCAATGTTAGTAATGTAGACAGCATCGCCAACTGATATAGGTTTGTCCTTGTGCTGACCATCGTGTTGAAGTTTCTGTTTCTGCTGTGCCTTGTTCACACGTGAACGTTCGTCAGGATTGCACAGATCTAGGTGAGTTCGCATTTTCCTTGAGAACATGATTTCAGCAGGTGATTTACCTGTAGTGGTATGCAAAGTCGACCTGTAGCGGAACAAAAACTTCGAGAACTTGGCCTCGACAGACAGAGGTAGATCGTTCTTCTTTCTCATGACTTCTTTGAACGTTTGTACACATCGTTCCGCCATACCGTTTGAGCCTGGATGATAAGGTGGTGTGAGCACATGCTCTGTGAATGCTGTGCCGTTGTCTGACACAATGGTAACTGGCAGTCCATGTGTTGCGAAAGTTCGTTCCAGCATCTCAATGGTGACCTGTGAAGTCTACGACTTGCATACATGCACATCTAACCACTTGGAATGTGCGTCAACTATGAGTAGAAACATCTTGTTCTGAAAAGGTCCTGCATAGTCAATGTGAATCCTTGTGAATCCAAGGATTCTGCGGATACTCCCATGGATGCATAGGCACCGAAGCTCTGGCTTTTGCATTAACTTGACACCACACGTAGCTTCTGGAGAGCATTTTCATGCGAACAATTCCCGGATGCCCGTCGTGTAGCATATTGAGTACTTTCTGCTGACCTTGTGGCGGCACAACAACTCGTGAGCCCCAAAGGATGATTCCTCCCTGTACGCTAAGTTCAGTCTGTCTGGTCATATATGGTTGTAACTCTGGTTCCTTGGAATGTGTCCAACCATGTGTAATGAAACGTTTCACTCGGGAGAGGGTAGGATCCTTCTGGGTCCATCTTTCGATGTCAGCAGCCGTGACTCGAGTCACGTCGAGGAAGTTTACAGCAGCTATGGTCTCATGAGGTATGGGCACAGAAGCTGGCTGTCCGGTAGCGGTAACCTGCTCATAGCGTCGGCATGATTCATCTTATTACCTGGTTTGTAACGAAATGAATAGTTATATGCTGAGAGTGTCAGCGCCCATCTCTGGATCCGACCTGAAGCAGTTGTAGAAACACCTTTCTTCTCTCTGAAGAGTGTTTCCAGAGGTTTGTGAACATTGCTGATATGAAAATGACGTCCATATATATATGAGTGGAATCTTTTGATTCCGAAGATCACTGATAAGGCCTCTTTCTCAATTTTAGAATAGTTACGCTCGGCAGGGTTGAGCGTTTGAGATGCGAAGGAGATCGGTCTGTGTGTACCATTTTCCATCACATGAGACAGGATGGCTCTTAGGCCGTATTGAGAGGCATCAGTTGCTAATATTAAGTCCTTATTAGCATCATAGTGAACAAGCAGCTGTCTTGAGTTCAAGAGTTCTTTTGATTCACAAAAAGCTCGCGTTTGTTCATGACCCCATGTCCATTTCACATCTTGTGCAAGGTGCCAAGCAGTAGATACAATGATAGGTCGGGATCAAGTCCAACAAAAGCCTCTGCAAAGCTTCATTTCACAAATAAAGCTTTTGTTACGCCCTTAGGTCTCGCCACCATTGTATCTACTACTTTTGAACCCCAGTTAACTTCCCGGCCCCCACGTGGCACAATAGTGTCGCAGGCACTACTGTGCCACTATGACCGCGAATATACCTATAGAAAGATAGAAAGGTTCTAAAAAGTAGTAAAATGTCCTCGGCAGCCACAATTCCCCAAGGGTGAAATCGAAAGATGATGTTGCGCTTCTCCAAAGGGAAATTGCCTTTCTCTCGCCATGAGAGTGCCCCACTCAGCTGAGTCCCTTTTCAGCGACCCAACTGATATGAGCCTGATTCCTTACCTAAACACCTCACATCACACAAAGTTGCAAGTAATCTCCACTGAGGCAACTGCGGGATACGAACCCACATGTATAGCTCGCACAAACTTTACATAATGGGCCGCACCACTCAACCGATTGAGCTACCTGGGACTTAGCTGAATAATCTCGGTTTAACGGGTCTATCCTAGGATTGCATCATCCAAAGCTGGGCTCTGTCTATAATAGCGCAAACCAGTTTATGACGTTATTCTTAACTCGGCTCCATCTATACTTGCTACAGTAGCGCAAAGGAGGTTTTAAACCCGGTTACTGTTAACATGATATATACAATATCGACTTTTGAAATTATTATAGTGTGTAACTTAACTTTTATCTCACTATGTTTCGTGTGTATCAGGTATTATATTGTTAGAATTAAAAATCGATTTATATATTTGAATCCCAGTTAACTTCCTGGTCACTATGACCGTGAACCAGCACTTTCCTGATCATGTGACGTGTCGTGTTGATAGGAAACAGTTTAATGTGATACAGGATACTATTGGGATTACTCAACAGTAAGTGTTAAATATTTTGCTTGGGGGGTAACATTGTGCCGTACGGTATGACTAATAATTCCTCTCTAACAAAACCTCTCCCTTGCCCATCTCTCAAGTAGTACAAGTTCGGCTCGTCAGCTTTGATGTCACTTTATCTATGTTGTAAGTTTTGACTGACCATATAGGATCAGTGGCTCGTTTCCGAGTGTCCCCTTCGTGTTCCACCGGCTGGTAGAGGTACCTCACGAGGGCCCTATCTGGTATCTGTTTCTCCTTCCCACGCAATGGTGCAGACGACTCAGCAATTATTGATTTTAGTTTGATAGCGTCGGCTGGTTTCTTGCCGGTGAGACGGGTGGTTTCATGGTTGATGGCCGACACCACCTGAGGCAGCCGGGCTACCCATTCAGTCGATCGTTTCCCCTGGGTTGGCCATCTCTTTCGCATACTGATGCCCGAATAAACGCTCTGCCAAAGTCCGATTGAATCTCTCAACTATGGCTTGGCTGCGATGAGCACCGCCAACGCCACGCCTGACCTTGGTATCGTGTTTGTCTAGCAGTTGTGACACGGCACCCATGAACTCCCGCCCAGGGTCGACTTGCAGCTCTGTGGGCCACGTCAGCAGACTGCGTTTGTACATGCGTTCGAATCCGCGGGCTACCTGGGCCCGAGTCTTTCGCGGTCAAGGGTTCGGCTTCCTTGTAGCGACTGGCCACGTCCACGATGGTTAAGGCATACTTGTACCTCCTGTCGTGGGGTAGAAACAGGAGGTCGGCCTGGTGAACGCTATTGGGTATGTTAATACCGAACTTCCTTCTAGGCACGTAGCGTGGTGCCGGTAAATAGATCTGCCACAGGGCTTGTTTTTCAAGCCACGCTTTGGCCTCGTTTGGGGGTACTCGCGCCATTTTGGCCAGCTTATGTAGGGCGCTAGCTCCTTTCCAGTACCCACGTGGGCTGTAGTAAATAGCCTCAAGCTTTCTCTGGTTCCGTGACATGTCGCCCCGACAGGATATATATACACCTATGTTCTTGGTTCATTTTTCTCATGCCCGTACCCGTACGTGTTGATCCCATCAATAGCTATCCAACATCCCAACACTTAGTGTCCATCGGCGACAGGGACGTCTTGTTTATCATCAGTCTGTATATCCTGTGCCCATCACTTCTAAGCGTGTTTATTTTATGTCTGAAGGTACGGGTCTTGAACAGGGCTTCCTTGAATCTGGCGTGTTTGATGTGTTGTTTAACAACGTACTTCTTAACACCCTTCGCCTTTCGGATCTCACCATTGTCGGCATTCAGGATGGAATACATCTTGGGTCTCAAGCCTATGTACTCGGCTATGGGCGTGCCAGCACACTCGTCCTTCATCTTACCTAGGACCTTTTTATCTACCGTGCTGTGTATGGCATGGTCCTTGGGATAGTCGCTGGTGTCGTACAAATGGAGGCGTTTCTTCATGTCCTCGTACACGTCCTCGGCTCGAATCTCCATCAGCAGGGAATCCGTGTCAGTGTACAGCACTTAACACCTGTCGCCGTACTGTTTATTCAGTTCATTGTAGTAAAAGTCATACATCAGGTGTTTGGATAAATCGAGGATGCTCATCCCCACGTCAACAGGCCGGTTGAATTTTATGTGGCTTTTCTTCATGTGTAGGGCCACCAGATCGTCGGTGAATATCTTGCTCCGGTTGAATGCCGGGCTGACTATCAGTTTCTTGAGCTTGTCTTTCTCATTCTACTGAACCAGCTTCACGGTCACGCGTTTCCTCGGGTTCTCCATAGTCTTACCGAACACTGAGTTGTTCATGAGCTTGTAGAGGTTTTTCTCAAAATCACTGGTGGCCAGCTTTCGCAGGTCCGTGTTCATTCTGATGTAGGGCTCCATCCAGGGGCTCTGGTCGAACACGAGCACCCTATGTATTTTGGTCAGCTTCATACCCAACGACAGGTACAGCTGTAGGTTGCAATAGTGAACGATGTACTTGGTTTTATTCATTAAGTTGGGCACTAGTTTTTCAACGTCTGCCACCCGCCCACCTAACAAGTTATGTTGGTACTCAGACATCCAGTCTGGGTTAACCCTCATACGTTCGGGGGCTAGGGGGTAGCTGTTGTGCGATGTGTGCAATGCCTTGGGGTATTCCAAGTCCACTTCGAGGATATAGCCTTTGTTCGAATCTGGTGCGATGCTCATAACATCGACCTCGTGCGATGCCCATTTGAATCACCCTGTGGGTAGATACTGGCTCATGGCCCAACCATACAGGTTTTTGGCGTCGAGGTTGAGAATATGAGTGTTGGGTTGATTCGGGTTATAACCCTTCACGTATTGATTATTGGCTTTTGACTATTGTTTAGAGGCCATGGAAATCCCACCTCTCAAGCCTTTCTCAATGAACAGGTGCATGTCGTAATCGGTGAGCAATTCCAGCTTAGCTCCCGGTCTTTTTCAACAATGCATCCCACGACAGACCTGGGCTGGTGTAGTACCATGCGGGGTCGAGTTGGTACTGCTTAAAACACGTACTCCTAAACGTCTCAAACACGTCGGCTAGCAGGAGTACATCTGTCCTCAAGTACAGGTCGTGGTAGTCACCCAGATTCTTACAGCCCAGTTTATTCCATACGTTAATCGCGTGCGAGTAATCGTCTTGGGATATTGCCGAGTCGGTCAGGTTGCTGTAAAATCGGTTGATAGGAGGCGAACTTGACCCAACCATCCATGTACTCGTAGGGGTACACGCCCTTCCTCATCAGCAGGGGTCGAGTCTCGGCGTCGGTATATCGATCAGTGATGGGGAAGGTATTGCTGGCCTTGACCAGACTGTTGAGTGATGACAGGAGGAACTGAACCGAGTCGATGAACCTCAGACCATCCAAGCTGAAGCAGATGTATCTCTCCATGTTGTTAGGGATGCACGTCAGGTTGCCGTCGACTTTTTGCGATGGCCTGCATGATCAAGTGAGAGTCGTACCCTCTCAAGTTGGGGAAGACCACGGGGATGTTTATTGTCTTGGGGGTGATTCTAAGCTTGAGGTTACACACGCTGTGAGCGGCGTCTCTATACTTACCGGTGACGTGGCAGTGATCTCTTACCGAATCACCGTTCAGTGGGCTATCACACACATGGCAGTGAGTGCTGCAGACGTCTGCTTGAGTCATACGCATGGGAGCGGCTGTGTGTAGTGCATTCCTAATACTTTTCTCTTCCTTCTGCAAGCACTTTAGAAACTTTTCAGCCGCATCGGGACCCCTGTACACTACGGGAGCTTTCGTTTTCCCATCACACCGGACGACCACGTATCCAAACTCACAGGCCTCGTGCTCCTGGTTTTTTTGTGTGGCTGGGGTACCCCAAGCAGCCCCGCCGCCAGCAGCCTCAACGAGTTTGACCAAGGCTTCGAAATTGGTGTAGATGACATAAGGCATGGACATCTGGTTCTTGTGGTTGTCGAATTTTAGGATATTGTCGCCTTCCTTTGGCATGTCGACTCGTATGGCCGTCTGCCCCACACCTTTGCAATCCCCCTGGTGTGATTCCAGCAGGTCGGGTCGGCTGAAACCGTGCAGGCATCGTTTGCAAAAGTGTTTTTTCCCAACGTGTTTCGACTGGTCGTGCAACAGCCTGCTGAGGTGTTTTACCCACGTGTAGTGATACTAATCACCTCGCTGGGTCATGAATATAGTGATAATGCGGCGACCCCCTTCCCCCAACATTGGACTGACCCTGTGCACTATTGTTGTGTTACCTTCGTGCCCTAAGACGTTTATGGCTATATTATTCTGTTTTTCTACTTTAGTGATCTGGGATATGGGGGTGGGTTCATCTATACCATCCCAGTTGAGCCCATCGTCTTGGGGATAGCTGGAAAGCCTGTCCGAATGAGTGTCAGCTGGAAACAAGGCTGACCTGGTAGCTAACCTCAGGCAATCGTCTCCTCTATTCTTGACGTTGACCATGGCCTGTTTTGCTTTGTAGTAGGGGGGCAAGCCTAGGTACGACCCGCCTCTGAATGGCACGTAGTTAGCTATGTCTAGATAGACATTATCGATTTTATCCACGACCCATCCGGAACCCATGTGCGTGTAGCGTTCTAGGTATTCTCGTATCTGCTGAAAACTGGTATCGATTGACTCGTCTATAGTCTCTGTATGAGTTACAACTTCTTGTTTACCTCGGAAGTAAGGCTGAACGTACTCAATGACCCCGGTGGGTGTTCCCGCCTGCTGTTTATCGAGTGACATTTTCACTGTGATTTGAAACTTTATACTTCCCAAATCGTTTAGTTCCTCATTGACTTTATCAGCGATTAGAGGCTTGATATCGGCGATGACTATGTTCCTATCAACATGCATGTGCCAGCCTCTCAAATAGTTAGCTACAGCGCGCTCAGTGCGCATGAACTCTAGGTCAATAGCTCTATTCTGCCGTAATAGTTCTACAAGCTGTGGCTTCCTCGTACGGGAATAACCTAATAAACCCAACTCGCGAGCTTCCTTTTTGAGTTGTGTTTTTCACAGTGTGGGGCTTTGCTACGGGGTCGTTTAATAATGCAACTAACCCGGCTTTGTCGAGGCGGGAATAACCCGTCAACCCTAGCTCTTTTGCTCGGAGTTTTAGTTGTTTTACCGTGGGAGGGGCTTGTAGGCCGAGTAATCTCAACAACTGTGGTTTCGTCATTCGAGAGTAACCAATTACACCTCGTTGCCTCGCAATCTGCTTGAGCTCCCGAGTAGTAGACATTGTGTACACACATAACTAGATCAATCTCTAATTGGATAGCAACTCTTCCAACCTTAATAAAAAATAGAGGCGCTATAACATCCTTAGTAAATATCTAGATAGACCTTATCGATTATACCCTCGAACCACCCGGAACATGCGCAGCATAGTAGGGTGTTTTGTATTATTTGCAACGAGTCTTCAACAAGTATATCTATCTCCCCATGCACATCTACTCGTCCACCATCAAAGTAATTCCAAGTGTGCCCAGCCCACGGTACATCAAACCCTACTTTCACCATGATTGTAAATGAGCACCCCTTATAGAGTTCGCTAACAATCATGGGTTTGAGTACACTGATATCTATACTTTCCCCAACATCAATCTGCCAGCTTCTCAGGCAATGACTTTCCCTGGGCTCAACTTCCACGAACATTATTATACCTAGGTGTGCACAGTCTCTAATTGGGTCACTGACAAAGGGATGTAACTCCTCCAGCCCTTACACTGCTATCCTGAGGAGGCGCCTACGTTCTTTTCTGTAGTCTTTTTTCTTCTCGTAGATAAGATGATGTCTGACTACGTTTGCTCCGTGAGCTTTGCATAGGCAGTAGTGACCTTTCACCCCGACACCACACACAGAACACGTGTAGTTGATACTCTTTATATGAAAACAACAGTACCCCTCAGTCCTGCATCTCCTACCGCAGGCCTCGGTCTTCCCCATAAGTATGTATTGGCATCAGTACGGGGCGGGTCTCATCTTTGCTATACTTATATGAGTACTTAGTCTAATTGATTCGCAACCAACGCAGTAGCTGCTAGACCCAGCAAGATAAAGACCAGTTCCCGGTCCTTTTACCTCGGGGATGGTGTGTAGAACTGAGCGAGTGTGGGCTTAGGAGGGAGTGGTTCTAGCTGTTTACCGGTTAGTAGGTAGTATTCTCTCACTGCGTCGCCGACATCATGGAACGTTTTAACGGCACGGTTCTCACGCTGTAGTCGTTCGTTAATGTAATCGATCCCGAGTACACGTTTCTTCGCATACTCAGCTTGTGCTGCTTGTTATCTTTCCACGGCCAGGTCGTGGCGCTTACGTTCAGCTTGTTAACTAACCCCCCCTAATCATCATGGCGATCGCAGCCATCCTATACATAACTACATTTACTTCAAAATATTCTCCGGTATGATCCCTTGTTTTACGAGGATGTCCTTGGTGGCCATCGCCATACCCAGGTTCATTATGAGCATACCCATATCCTGCAGGTTGAAATCTAGCTTGATAGTCGGTTGTTTAAGCACCATTTTGGTCAACCGATCGTACCCTACAGCTAGACTGGCGACCACGGTGGCGTGGTATGCATCGTTGACGAACGTTTTCCCCTCAGACATTATGTATATGATATAAAAATATATATTTATAACGTGATATGTGGGTTGACCTCTAATTGTTGGGGAGGGATACCCTCCCTGGGTGGTTGTTTATTATATAACCATGGGATAACCACGGCAGCAGTTGCGCCTGCAATCCACAGGAGGGGAGCCCTGCTCCACGTGCTACTCTTAGACCACCTTTTTTTACTGGCAGCTACTCTCTTAGGGTTCTTCTGCCTGGTGACTGTAGGGTTCACCTCCCTGGGGGTTTGGGATGGGGTTTCCTCTGAAGGGGTCACCTCCCTGGGGGTTTGGGGACTCATTTCTTGGGCAGCATCCATCTTGTATACTATTATTATTATTTTTCCCCTCCTTAAATTGGCAATGCTTTGCTGTGATAATCGCCGCCGTCACCGGGGGCTAAAAACATACCGTATTTGTGGTACAGCATGCAGCTCAAGGCGTGTTCAATAAACGGGTCTTTCTTGAGGTCCTCCCACAGGTAAAGTCGACGTTCCAGGGGAATGGGAAGGAAGTACGACACCATACCAGTGTAGATCTGGGTCATAGTCGATCCTATAGCCTCTGTCATCTCGGCCCCGAGTCTAGCCTCGTATCTCGCATACAGCTTATCGATTTCTTCGGCTGGCATTTTCTGAATTTTATCGGGAGTGTAGTCCCCAAAGTATTGTTTGGCTTTGCCACCAACAGCCAATGCTACCAGTCTCTCTCGCTTGTTGTCACTCACCTGTGGCAACAGTTGATCCTGTGGCTCCAACAGTTGTTCTAGCAATTCATCACACTCCATCTTATAATGTAATAAGTAAGTTTTAGTTTTAATAATATAATACCCGATGCAGGCTAAACATAACGAGATAAAGGTTAAGTTGCACACGACGAGCACTTCAAAAACAACCATCACCCTATAGAACTGTAACAATTAATTGCTAAGCTTTAGTAAGCATTTGCTAAGCTTTGCTAAGCATTGCTAACCATTGCTAAGCTAAAACACCCTTTAGGCCACGGGTTGGTCGGTCTTGAGCACGAGCTTAGCATGTTTAGTTTCAACGAGCTGTTTCTTTACCCGCTCCCGTTCTAGTTTGCTCATCACATCGTTCTCTCTCAAACACTCCTCGAACGAATCCCTGTCCTTGCAGTGGAATAAGGCCACCCATCGCGTCTGCTCCCTGAGGTCTTTCAACACCAAGTTGAACTTCTGCGTTAGCACCCAGACGCTGTGCTTTGCGTGCCGGCCGGAAAAGGCCAGGTACGATAGCATGTCTCTCTTTTTTGTTATCTCACGATTAGCGCTGCAGTCGTCCAGTATGAACAGCGTCGACTCCCCTTTAAATTTGTTGTGATAAGCCTTCAACCAGTCCTGCAGACGTGTCCCCGGGTCGACTTTGTGTACACATCCCGGTAGTACCCCTCCAACATATCCAACACGAAAACGGTCTTCCCACAGTCCATCTGTCCACACACTATGGCGCAGGCAGGTCGCAGGGCAAATCAATAGATGGCATGCCGGCAGGCAGTGGCTTGCGGCCATCAGTAAATGGCTTGCACGAATCTCCCATTGTCTATATTAAGTTGCGCGTCCATAATAACGTACAAATATAATTTCAACTTGCCTGCGGGTTGAGCCTTCTTAGTAATCTGGATTGTTATCCCCTCGCTGCCATTATCGATGCGACGCCCACTACAGTGCAATTTATCGTCATCAGTGGATCGCATGTCCAACCATAGCGCGTACTTGGTGGTCAGGTATTCACCGATCTGCACAGAGGATAGGTCCAGGTCTTTGGTTATGTGTGGGTGTTGTTTGATAGCCAGTATCATTTTTATCTCATCCCATTGCTGGTATGCTCTCATACCATGACTGAACAGCTGGTTGGGCACGCCCTCGATGGTCACTTCCACCTTTTCAATCTCGGGGTTGAAAAACTTCTCGCTGTCACTTCGGAAAGGCTCATAATCCTCTACGGGGACGATCAGGATACCTTTCATCGATCGCGCCGACACATTCAGGTTGATGTTCAACACAGTGTCACTCTTATCCCGCACGACCGATCTATGCCTCAGGACCCTATCGTACAGGATGGCCACCTTCCCCGAGTACTGGGTTCGAACCTGCCTGGCCAGCTCCGGGCTAGTGACCATGTCGAACTCCAGACAGATGTTGTCGATGGTGTAACTGGCTTCATCACCTTTCGGCGTACGCATTACTTTGCTGTAGTCGTTGAACGTGAGCTCGTATTCAAGCCTATCACCCAGCGCGGCCTGGTAAAACGGCGCATGTCCTGTGAGCAACTCGAAGTCGAGCGGCAAGCAGTACCCGCTCCCATACACTTGGGCGATGGCCTTTTCGCCTGCCAAAATCTTGTCTAGCTGGCCTGCCGTGAAGCCGTACCCCACGCTCAACTGAGTCGATTTGCTGATACCTTGGTACACATCATTGACGCGTTCTCCCTCGCTTTTCCATAGGTCCCCGTAGCAGTGAAACACGTCACTGTCGTCGATGCTCAGCACCTCGTTACCGCTGATCTTGATGGTGGTTTTCTTGATGATGGCTCGACCTACGTTCCGCACTAGCTCGCGTTTGTCGTTGTCGGAGGTCAACGTGAGGTTGAACGCCTGTCGAACCGTGCCTGGTACGATAAGGTCATTCACACCCAGGTTTGGGAATCTAACCAGCAGCGTTTGATTCTGGTCTATCTTGCTGGGATTGTTGGTGATGGTCACCGACTGGCGCACCGCTCTGACGCCTAGAGGCTCTCTTGATCTTCGGAAAGGATCGAGTTTCCCGCCATACATTGTTATATAGATAAAATATTAAAGTTTAATATAAATAATGGCTGACGATATCGAAATGGATGATTTTGACGTTGGTGCGTCCGTTGAGGTGGATTCCGGTGAAGACACCTCGTTCATGGGAGGAACCTTGAGCTACGAACTTTTAAAAACAACCGTCAACGATTATTACACGGGGTTAACACAGGATAAAAATTACGTCAAGCCGTGGGGAATAGAGTATTCCAAGTTTACCATCGATGACATGCTGCTATTGAAAGCTCATCCGGAGATCGATCTCATGAATAAGCGCACGAGAACCGCTCGCTTTGTCTACTCTCAACGGTTGCCATGGTACTGACTTTATCCATGATAATTAAACATGCGAGATTACGGTGGTGCACGGCCTTAGCTTCCCCCGAAGGTCGTCAAAGATCTACTAAACATCAAGGGTGAGCTCAGCGGTGAAGGTGATGCTAACAGTATCGAAAAATATTGGCCATATTGTACCATGACAACCCCTTGCCTGGTTTCGAATTCCCTGTTCGAGAACTGCGAGGCCTAGACGAAGCCTTGAAACATGTACGTGGAGAACTCGTGAACAACATGGGGAAACTGAACGAACTCGACGAGCACATCGCTCGCGAGAAAATAAAACTCACAGAAACGGAGGACGATGATATGAAACGTCGTATCGAGGAGAGAATAAAAAACTTGGAAGACGAGAGATGGACTCGGTTGGAATCCGCTTCCTCGAACCAGGAAGCCCTCCGATCCAGATCAGTCGCGTACGGGAAACCATCGATCGGGTCCGAAATGAGGACACCACCCTAGCTGACAGGATCCGAATCCTCTTCCGTGAGCAAGGGATCACCATTGCCAGCATTCTGACTGCATTGGGCTTCATCATATCAACCCTAGTCTTGTCACCAAGTGGTGGGGGCGTCAGAGACTGGATAAAAATACACCTGAAATCCCTCGGGGAGGCCCTGGCTAAACTGGCTGGTAAGGCCGCCGAAGCCCTGCCCGGCATCCTGGGTAGCATCGTCTCGTGGCTGCTGAGCGCTCTGGCTAAAACTGCCATGTGGCTCGGTCAAAACCTGTGGGCAGCCATTGTCATCGTGGTGGGTCTGGTGTACGTAGCGGCTAAGGAATTTTTAACCAAATGAGTCCCAAACCGACCACGATCCCCCCGACCACCAGGGCTGTTTTACGGTGCTGCTGATTGGACGCCTGAACGTGTGGGGGTTGGGGCTGTGGGGGTGTGGGTTGAACCCTAGGCTCTGGGACTGGAGCCACTATACCCATCGCACCAGTATGTGTGGGTGGCGGGACGTGGGGGGTGTTAACAACGGAACCCTGCTCGTGGCTTACGTCCCGGCTCAGAGACGTAGCGTAGTCATCAGCCCAGCCGCCAGTATGGCAGCCCACATGCTATCTAGCAAGCCCGGGATGCAAAACGTGGTATTGCAGTTGGTGTCTGAATTCGAAGGCATGGTCAACATCCTGGAGAGTCTACCGGCGAACTCAATGCTGGTCATCCAAGTCTACCTAGGGGAACCATAGCGGGATGAAGTCGAAATCGTGAAGGGGATCAAACACCGGTGGGGGAAACGACACCAGTATCACGTTTGCACTGTTTACGTGCGGGTGGGTGTCAACTCCAACACCAGTCTGCAGGGGGTCACCGTGACTGTGGAAGACACGATATCACTCACCAAGATCTTCCCACTGGACAACATACACTTCATGGGGGTTAAGTGCATCCCTGAGAGATTATCAGAAAAACAGTTGGAAATTATCTCGTAATAGTAATATAGCAATGACCAGACATCGTCCCAACATCACGCTTAACCACCTAGGGGACACGGAGGAGTTTGATCTACCTGGTGAGGAAGACACCTTATACATCCTGCACTTGAAAGACAACGTGTATAGGCGGGTGTCTTAATCAGATTTTAAAGAGCCTGAATGGTTAGTCAACTTTTAACCCTCACCTCACCTTATATCTCCTCGAAAACAAAATAATACTATCTCCGAGATTAGGAACAACGGTATCATTCTCGGGTCGTTCATTCCGGATTCTAGTGTACAAGTCATACGAATACCGGGCCACTCGGGCAACATGTTAGCTTCAGTGGGAAGGTAAAGATAGAGCTCAAATTACTCGATTACCAACAGGATTTTAGAGATGTCCCGAAAAACTTCACATTCATCATAGACGTCTATCTCGGAGATGTACGTTTGACTAGGAATTTTATTCACCTTTTAGATTATCTTCCGTTAGGTTGGGAATACAGGCATAAAAACCAACGTTGTCGTATTATTAAGGTTTCCGGAAACAGACCTTTAGCAAGCCTTGATGGAGTTCGTGTCCTAAATGGAAGTAGAGCTGAGACCCCGCTTTTTTACACGCAAGTTAATCTAAGTATTATCAGCTTTAGGTACATTAATCGAAGGTTAAATGAAACCCAATTAAAATATATATTGTAATATATATTATAAGATGGGTCTATACTCAGTCATAGAGGAAGTCGCTAAGACACTGGAAACTGTAGACGGGTTCCGCTTGAGGCAGTTATGTGATGTAAAACGCCAACTAGAACAAGACTGCGACGCGCGGAAAGCACTATGTAAGAAGTACCATAGAGCTTTCAATATCGTGGATGGAGCTGATACTGCCCTTATGGCAACCAGCATGGGACTAGGGGCAGTAGGTGTCGGTTTGTTGACAACCATCGTAGCCGCACCCATAGTGTTGGGCATTGAAATAACAGCTGGGGTGTCAGGGTTGGCTGGATTGGTATTTAAGTTTGTATCTCGCAAATTGCACCGTAAAGCATTGAAACATGAAGAAATTAGAATTCTAGCCGAAGCAAAGCTGACAGTAAGATCTTGGGAGGAGGAATTTTGTTCAATACTCTCTGAACTTGACAAGTACCGTAAGATGAAACAAGAAATCAGGTCCAAGTCTCGTAAGTCCACTATCAGCGAAGATGAGAAAAAAAACTACATAGAACAGGGGGTACGAAAAGCCCAGCAAGCCTTTATTACGAACACCAAAGAGATCATAGGCGATTCACATTAAACTGTTTCATCGAGGTCAACACGGCATAGAGCTATCACGTGATAAGGAAGTGGCACAATAGTGCCACGTGGGGGCCGGGAAGTTAACTAGGGTTCAAAAGTAGTAGATACAATAGTGGCGAGACCTAAGGGCCTAACAAAAGCTTTATTGGGAAATAAAGCTTTGCAGAGGCTTTTTGCTGGACTTGGTCCCGGTTTATCATTGTATCTACTACTGTGCCAACACACTAGACAGATTTGGGAGAAATTTCCCATAATAATTGAGAAGCCCCAGGTAGGACTTAAGTTCGGACACATTTGTGGGAGAAGGTGCGTTGGGTATAGCCTCAACTTTGCTGAGTACTGGAGTACTGGGTGGAGCCCCTCTGCACTAATTCGATGACCCAAGTAGGTCACTGCCTTGGCTTGGAAAACACACTTGTCCTTGTTAGCGTGAATTCCTGCAGCTGACAGTTTTCCTAGAACTGTATCGACGTTCTGCACATGATCAGGGTCATCTTTCCCTGATATGATAATGTCATCCTGGTAACCAAATGACATGGGAGCACCTTCCAAAAGGTTGTCGACATATCTCTGGAATATGCCAGGTGAGGAAGAGATGCCAAACGGTAGTCTGTTATACCGGAATAGTCCATGGTGAGTGTTAATAGTGGTATACCGTTTTGATGTTTCATCTAGCGGAAGCTGAACATATGCGCCGGCAAGGTCAATCTTCGTGAACGTCTTGCCACCTGAAAGTTCCGCAAAGAGATCTTCTATTTTCGGAATTGGATACTGATCCAACATGGAGACTTGGTTGACTGTTGTCTTATAGTCAGCACACATTCTGATTTGTCCATTTCCTTTCAGCACGGGTACGATGGGCGTGGCCCACTCCGAGAATTGAACTGGTTCAATTATGCCATCACTCAATAGTCTATCAAGTTCATCTTCCACCTTCTTCTTCAGTGAGTAAGGAACTGGACGTGCCTTGCAGAATCTCGGTTTGGCATTTGGATCAAACATGGATTGTTGCAAATGTACCTTTGATCTCCCCGATACCACCACTGAACACGTTTGCATGTTTATCGAATATTTGTTCCAGTGTCACTGATTGACTTAGTTCACAAATTTCATGTTTGGTTACAATGTCGTTCCAATCGAGTTTCAGTTGGTTGAGGAGGTCCCTTCCGAGTAAACTTGGTCTTTTTTCGTCCACAATAAGATGATTGTAAGGATTGATCATTGTATCTTACATCCACATCAATGATACCAACAAACCATCTTCAACTTCTCTCCTGTGTACGATCGAAGGACATGTGAAGTCTCCTTAATAACTGGAGGGGTTGGATGACCAAGTCTTGTCATACGTTGACTTAGTGATGAGGGTGAAAGATGCGCCCGTATCAATCTGCAGCTGTACTGATGCATTATTTATTTCTACACTGACATAATATGGTGGGACAGATGTGTCTTGCTCACCAACATGACAAAGTTCATATTCTGTTGTGCAAAAGTCAATGCAATCTTCATCAACAAAGGTTTCCTGCGTCCCTGAAAACTGTTTGACACATGATGTACATTTTACCCTTTTTGGATCTGTGAAGTCTGTTGACTATCGAAGATGTTCCGAGAGGCAGATTCGATGCCCTGAGCTAGTTCCAGCGCTTTGTTGTAATTCAGATCAGGCTCGGACAAAAGTCGTCTTTGACATACCACACACCAATCTGTCACGAAGCATAATTTCAATTTGAGTTCCATGGCCACAGTGTTCAGCAATAGAGCGAAGTTCAGCAACATAGGTAGCTATCGACTGATCGGAGCGCCTCATGCACGTGTTGAATTTGAAGCGTTGTATTATCGCTGATGGCTTCGGTTCAAAATAGTTTTACCAGCACTTTGATTAAATCGTCAAAAGACTTATCTGTTGGTTTATCAGGCGAAACCAAACTTCCGAGTAGTCCATATGTCTTTGATCCGATTACACTTATACGAATAGCCCTCTTCTGATCACCATCCGTGATTTTGTTCGCGGTAAAGTATGCAGACAGCCTCTCGCTGTACGCGACCCAAGATTCAGCATCGCTGTTAAAATCAGTGATTTTAACGTATGCAGCCATGTCTGAATACGTCCTCTAGACCCTCGTCGCCAATTATGTGGTGTACTGGGTTCACAGACTTGAAGATGGTGAAGATTCATAAGGTTTATTCACATTAACCTTTAACATGCCGTGTTGGCCATTACAGACGATCCCAAGATGCTTGGGTCCAGAGAGCATTCCTTTACATCCGCTCTGGGGACCATTAATTAACAAAAGTGTATTTTCACATTAAGTCACTGTTACGCGAACACAACAAGAATGTATTGACTTTGTGATACAAAATACTGAACACTTCTTAAGAATAACAGAGGACAAGTAGTACGTGTACGTTTACCTTTAATGAAGGTCTTGTAGTAAGAATAATAATGATCGTCATTTAAAACAAACTAGATTGAAGAAATATAGTAGAATGCATATTAAAACAAACTAGATTGAAGAAATATAGTAGAATGCATATTAAAACAAACTAGATTGAAGAAATATAGTAGAATGCATATTAAAACAAACTAGATTGAAGAAATATAGTAGAATGCATATGGTGAGTGTGGTGTCTAGGTCGTCAGTTCTGGTTTGGAGCTTTAGGGCTTCTTTTAGAGGGATGTTAGTCAAGAGTTCGATTACGTCGTAGCTGACCATGGTGCCTGTGTGGTTGGATTCCTTTAATAGATTGACTAATGTAGAAGAGTCACTGATGTAGGATTTGCCATCTTTGCCTAAGGGAGCTAAGAGTCGGGAAAGGAAATGGGAAGTGTTATAAAAGACTGATCCTCTGGAGCAGACTAATAGTCTGGCTTTGGTCGGATCCTTGTGTATCTTAATTGTGGCTCTGGCATATGGGGCTTGCGAGTTGATGGGGTTCATGTGGTTTAAGATGGTGTCGTTTATTTCTCTTCTCTGGTGAAGGTCCTTGAGGGTCTTCTTGTGCTGATGTTCTAATTTGGCAATGGGGTCTTTCTGGAGGGTTTGGTAGGTGGTCTTGTCGGAGAGGGTCTTGTTGACAAGCTGGAGGAAATCTGGGGTGTTCATGATGACCGTTGCCTTGCCTTTTTCTGCTTCTGTGGTGGTGATGTTATTGTCTTTAAGAAGTTCAGTGATCGCTTGTTTCTCTTTGTTAGTGAGGTTTGGGCGTGGTGTGGGGGATTTCTTGATGGTTTCGATAATCTGATGGCGGAAGAAGTCATCATTACCGTTTGGTGCCAGTTGTTGAAGGCCGCTTTCAATGCCGGTGTTGATTTTGCTACTCACTGGGACATACATCAGGCCTTTTGCAAGGAGGGGAAGTTTGTGCTGAAGTGAGGTTCTTTTTTTGTTTGCTTAAGTTGACGACTGTGTTATTGTTAGTGGTTCTTGAAATAGGTGCCTGGACATCTTTCTGGGCTGAGCGTTGTACACATAGTTGAGAGAACTTGTTGATGTGAGTTGCCTTGAATTTTTCGTTGAGTTGGTGGCGACTGGACTGGGCTAAGGACTGGGTCTTGTGGTAGATATCAGGTTTAAGAATGTCTTCAAGGAGTGATCTTGTATTCTCAATATGCTGTTGAAGGTGGGCCTTTGTCTGCGTAGATGCTTAATGTGATGTTTCACAATTCGACAACTGGCATGATGTAGGATGTTGTCAATGGCCGGAGAATGCTGGACAGGTGAGGACAATTTGAAACCTTTGGGAACAATTTTGCTGTCACGGCACCGGAGTAGGAACGTCAGGTGGTTGTTGGTTTTAACACTTCTACTTATAGTCTTGTTGTACTTGTTGACGGATCTTACTGCATCATCTCCATGTTGATGTCATTTCAAGCACACCTTCATCTCACTCAACATCTAGTATCTAGAATCATCAACAAGACCCTCAAAACATCCAAACCTAACCCCAAAGCTGCCCCATCACCCATCAGGATGGCAGAGGCACCAGCAGCTCAACACCCAACCCTAGAGGATGTGTATATCAAAATCTCTACAATTGTGGTGACCCATACACCGGCGAAACCATCAGGCCCCTTAACACCAGACTCAAAGAACATCATGCGTCCGTCAACAAACTCTACCTCTAATCTGCTGTTTCGGAACACATCAACAAGAACCAGGACCATGCCATCGTATGGGAAGCCACCAAAGCCCTATCTGTCAACAACAGCAACTGGCGGCAAAGAAAGTTGCAAGAGGCCATAGACATCAGAAGAAGCCAACCAGCAATCAATCGTAACCAGGGAACATATCTATCTAGCGCATGGGACTTATTAATTTAATTTACCATCACTACTGATCTCTTTGTCTTTGTATTTATTACTATTAGGTCTCGCTTCTATCTGTTTTCTTACCACCCTGTTATATGTCACTATTGTTACCTCATCATAGAATGTGATTTCTACTTGTTTCATGTCCATCGTCCAGGTGACTACTGACGTGTCTCTTTTAATAACAGTTGTATATTCATGTTCGCACACAAACCCGCAATTGAAGAAATGTTTCACTATTATAAAACAGTATGTAAAATGAAATGTAAAATACTACAAATGTAACCATGTCTCACACAAGGAGGTATAAATGTAAAACGCAATTTAAAAAAATTACATTAATTTCGCTTATTCGTCTGTCATTGGCAAAACCAACACCTGGTAATAGAAGGGCGAGCGTAGTAGTATAATAAATCAGACAACAATGTCATGTCGGATGTGATCACTAATTGTGCTGATAAAGTTGAGGCAGCGATTGCGCACTGAAGACACCAGGTGTTTGAAAACAGTGTGGAGAATGTTGTCCCTGTAGCCTGTGACATACAAACTGTTATGGATCCTGTATTCCGCCGTCAGTTACAGAGAATTGCTATGACAACCAATACTTTTACTCTTTGATTCCAAGCTGACGATACTGACAGCAACAAGCATCATTAGGCCCATTACACGAAAATCAGATCAGTTAAGATATGTAAACAGTTAAATGCCACTGCCTTGTGTCTTCTTATTACTGCCCTCTGTCCAAGGTAGGCATCCCTGCCTGGACAGTGATGTGGAAGCAAAACCGAGGGTATCATTATAGAATGACCTCAACACTGTTATCCGATCTGTTATAATGACATATCGATTCAAAGATGCACCAATTTTCTTGCTAATGTGCCGTCACACCTTGGCATCTAGTGGCAAATCGTGAGGGTTACTCTGCTGAATTCTCAAATCACAAGGCAGCATTAATTCATTGTCAGCAGTGAAGGCAATGATTGCACTTTTCCAGTGACTGCTTTGTGTTTACCTCACCAAATTACTTATTTCTCAAAAAGAAGTTTTAAATGGTTAAACGAAATGTAAATGACGAGAAAACTTCGATATGAACATGCATACTGTCCACATACAAATGAATTCAGCATGGTCATTGTGGTGACAACCTTCTGAACACGTTATCGTGAGATACGATGTTTCTCCTATTAAAACAGTAATACTACACTGTACCCTTACCTTCAATACACTGATATTTCACAACAGAGAATGTACGAATTGTATCCCGACGAGGGACCCTGATACACACACCGACTCTTTGTTGAGCGGTTTTGTACAGGGAGACCAGCTCGGTGTAGTTGGAATCGGTGATATCCATGTTCTGTTACACCGTCCGCTCTGAAATTGAGGCAGTTAGAGAGGCCTGTCTGTGGACACTCGGTGTTGTTAGTGTAGTAGGCGTCATAGATGGCGATCTTCTGTATGGAGTTGCAGCTGATGTCATGTCGAGTACAGACGAGTCCATAGGTTCCATTGCATGCCTTACTGGTGTATGTTGTACCTGCATGAACACAACACGCAGCTATGTACATGTGAATGTTATACATATGGTATGCCATATTGTGATAAACAATGGTTTTACGTATGTTCAGCTCCTTTTAAATGAGCCAGTAAAGATTGAGTCATTTTAAGGGTCGAGAGAGCACGTGGATATGATATATATGTACATATGCATCACCGATACAGCCCAATTTAGAAATACCTTTCCATGTTGAGATTTTGAATGTTGCTTTCCGCCATTGAGATATTTTATGACTGTCTGTTTGGCGTCGGTTATTAGGCAATTATTCGTTTTGTTCTACCTCCTCTTTGATGTTAGTAATGGAATGGGGAGAGGTGAAGAAGCATTACCAAGGACCGAGAAGGACTTCAAAGGATGCTGACGTGGTTTTAACTTAACGTTAAAACATTCGTGTTGATGTCACTAGAGATAATTTTAACTCACTTGAACATTTTTACTCACGATATAAGCTATGTTGAAGAGTATATCCTGGTCCTCTTAGCCTAGTTACATTTTCTCCTAACTAGACACACATTTAACTTTAGACTATACCAATTCCAAGGTATTGCTTCTTTGTTTCTTACTCACATGAACAAAACGTCATTGTGGAAGATTTGTTTTCGGGCTCGGCTGGGGCATTTCTCTTCTTTTTTCAAGGTTGTCATGCCCATATGTGACTGAGCCTACATTAATGATCTACCACTATTTATAATCTAGCTCATTCTATTCTTAACTATGATGTATCATATCTCATAGCAAAGGCGCGAAGCTGAAAATGTACTCAACGTGCAGCACCCGTGAACACACGTGCAGCTACACATAACGCAAATCGAAGCCATACTTTGATCCTAACTTGGAATGTTACCCGTTAAATTTGCTCTTTCCGCGGCATGTGTGCATATTCATACAAAACATGCATATGATCAAATGCATAGCATAGCCTGTAACACTGTCATATAATTATAAATGTAATCTTAGTTTGTGTTCACGAAAAGCTGTCCTTTATTTCAGGTACTCAGTATTTCAGTATTCTCTTTCTCCATATAAATATATGTCTCACCTGCACAAACTGGCTGAAGAAGGTAGCAAAGATAGGTGACATATATCCACACGATCACAGACTTCTGTCATACCGTTGACAGTTCAGCTTGACTTGATAAGTGCACCTTGAAAAGATTTGGAAATTAGGAAGTTTGTATTGTCACAAATAACTTCCTGGTTAAACATCGCCTGAATATGTAGGCCATGCAATACAGAAGAATAGATTAGTATCAACACATTATAAGGGAGATAGTCTTGGGTGAGAGATAGTCCACCTAGAATTAATCTCACAGGACTTGTTGTCCAGGTTCACTCTAAAAACACGAAATACCCTTAAAGCTCACTGAGCATGACGCTGTGTCTATTTTTGTAACCGCGACATAACAATAAACGAAAGGAGAGGATCCGCCATGTAAAGGTTTCTCGAGCTAATATTCTGTTTAATCTGAATTTTAATAGTTAACGTGTATTAATTCTCCCTTTTACTACCGACTAACTAGTTATCTACAACTCAACCTGATTTCGAGTGTAGTGTTCATTATGAACCAAGTGGGGCGATGTCATTCAGCAGTTCTCACGGGTTAATGTTTACAGTGAGCGCAGTGATTGTCGTCATTTACAGAGGGACTTGTACATGTAACCCCGATAAATGTCCATCGCCATATATGTTCTTCTAAGAACATATTATTAAAACGTGATAAATATGTTCGTTCAAACCAACTGTTCATACTAAAAACAGGGTTTGATTCCTCTACAATGGTTACAATGTGTGAAGCCTACAGTGATATTGCTGAAAGCGGCATAAAACTATACTCACTCACTATTCGTAATTCACAGTTCCATGTTTGATATAAGTAGGACGCTTGACACAGTAAACTTTAATCCAAGTAGGTATTCATTTGCTGTTGAGAGTGTAGGTACATGTTCCGTACAAATCACTTGCCACACAACGGTAAGAAATGCATTCAGGTAGTCAAGCTAGCTTGTAGCACGCTTGACGTCATACTCTGTGTAACACTGTCGCCTAACTGATATTTATCCTCGACGTTCCATGGTAGTCCTCGGTGTGATTCTTTGTTACTAGATATGTACATTACCTCATTAAATGTCCGTGCTGGTAACTTGAGTAATATAGGAACATACTGTCACACCGCTCGAATTCCACTGGCAGCTGTGAAATACGTGTACCATTTGCAATGACAGTGCTGACTCGGATAGGTCATACTGGGTGGTATTCACTGGGACGTTATATACAAACATGCACCTATTATGCATGCAACAGGCACCTACCAGAAACTCAACGTTTTCAGCATTTGTACTCCTTTGTTGATGATTGCCATAGGACGTTTAGATGTATGTTTCATAAAATTATTCAACATGGAATTTGTATCACTTTCACTCTGTTTTTGTCTATCTACATATAGTCTAACACCGTTGTGTTGAACTGACGGTTGTCTGAAATATGTCTTGTAATGATGTGTATTGCTTCTGTATTTTCCAGATTATTAACCAGTTTCTTGTTGAGGATTGGCATAGGACGTTCAGAAATATGTTCATAATCATTCAACAACAAGAGCTGTATCATTTACACTCTGATGTTGTATATCTACATATAGTCTAACACCGGGTGTCGGACCTGACGAAGTGTATTGCTGTCTGCATTTTCAGCATATAGCGATTGCTTTGATGAGGACTGGCATAGACGTTTTAGAAATATGTTCATAATCGTTCAACAAGAACGTTGTATCATTTACGTTGATGTTGTACAATATAGTCTAACACCGTTGTGTTCGACCTTGATGGTTGTCCTCTGAAATATTTCCCATTCACGATATATGTTGTTAATCTAGTTGTCCGTTACACTTTACCGTGTTTTACTGCACAAATGTTACATTGATAAAATGGACAATAATGAAATTATTACATCTCGAGTTAATTGTGCCATACGACTTTATAATGAAAATGGTGCAAAATTATAAAATTGCCCTCGCCTCGCTCGGGCAATACAAAATTTCACACTTTGTTTCGTTTAAGTCATATGACACACTTTGCTCGTGTAAATCCATCTCTATGTAATACAGATGATGTCGTTATTACAGTTCACCGTTCATGTAATAAACGATACTGAAGATCATTAATATATACAAACTTCCAGTTCGTCTTCCTACAACAGCTTCTCAACAGCTTTAACAGTCGTGTTCATTCTCATTACTTCAAACATATATGCACGTGTGGATATTTGTGATAATATCACTTTTGTAGGTTACGATATGCATGATTTTTGTGCTAATAGATACCATGCCGTAGTTTAACATAGATACTCCACTCGTCTACATTTTACTGACTACAAGTTGGTTTTGTACCTGGCCTTAACACCGTCCCGTCTGGATTGACAATCAAAATTTACCTTCTTTTGACGAGTTAGAGTGAGAATAAGAGGAGTGAGTATGGTGTTGCGCTGCTTTAATAATATTCCAGCAATATCACGGCGAGACACCACACATTTATATTTAGAAGCGCATCGAACCACTGTCAGGGGCGGTGAGGTAGCCTAGTGGTTAAAGCGTTCGCTCGTCACGCCAAAGACCCAGGTTCGATTCCCCACATGGGTACAATATGTGAAGCCCATTACTGGTGTCGCAAGGCGTGATATTGCTGGACTATTGCTAAAAGCGGCGTAAAACCCAACTCACTCACTCACATATACATAATATACATATATAAATAAGCTCACTCACTCTATGAAAGACACACAGCTGTTTAGGGAGACGCTCTATCTGTTACACCACTAAGACAATGTTTGAAGTTATGTCCGGGTGTTGTAACTCCTGCCGACTGATACGTACATTAATTTTTTTTTCAAATGGCAAAAGTCTACCTGTGCATTTTGACTGTTTGGAAATAACGTAACATTTAGAACTTTTTTAACATTGTGCATGAGGATTTATATGAATATCGAAAGACCCGAATAGTAACGTATCTTAATTCGTCTATATCCATGCAATCAGTATTAAATTTTGAATATTGTGTGTGTTCCTGACTTTAATTTTACTCCAACAGGATAATGTCTGAAGATACTACATCCTCCTTTCTCATAGATAACGCGGACAGAACGGCCCTCTTAATCAAAAATATTACTAACCATATCCCTTCCTCTTACTGTTTCTTGGCGTTTACAACGCAGGTATGACATGTGAAAACCAGAGGAAGTACTTCAGGGTTACGCTATAGCAGGTGTGTATATTACCGCGGGTGTGTATTGACTGCGTTTGATGATGTTAGCAGGAACGATTTTTACCTCAAAGCTGTGTGTGTATCTCTAACATGCAGATATCTTCGTCGAGAGTAATAGTTTGACAAGAGGAAGTACTTGGGTCGAAGAAGTGCCCCAATTGATATGAAAATACAGCTGTTGACTGCCCCTGATTTCTGGAATAAAATTTAGTGTCTGGGTCATACATTTAAGGTCAGTAAGGCCGTAGAAACTTGGACAATGGAGGAAGTACTTCAGGGTTGATGTCCCATTTGTTAAGATTGACTGGTTTCCAGCTTTAACGCCGCACCCAGCAGTATTCCAGCTATATGGCGGCGGTTGGTCTGCAAATAAGATAATCTGGACCAGACAATCCAGTGATCAACAGCATGAGCATCGATCTACATGCAATTGGGATAATGATGACGTACGTCAGTCAACTCTTACGACAAGCATGGGTTACTGAAGACCAATTCTAACTCGGATTTCACGGGTCCCTTCTTGGTATGAAATTACAGCTGCCTTCCGCACATAGTGACGCGTGTTTGGGTGGATCATGTGCGTGTTAAAGAACCTGGTCGATTCAATCTTTGTAATTAAGTCGTGTAAGCGATTATCCTTCAAACAGATATGCACTGGGTTTCCACGTTACATGTTAAGCTTAATTTCAGTGTAAAGATCTTTTCTAAAGCAGATCAAAAGAACTTCTTCAAATCGGAAAAAACACAGAATTCCATATAAATTTAATAATGAACCTGTAACCTTATACATTGATAACAAATCTATTCGAATAATCGATCGATACTTTTATTCATATTTTCATATTTTATGTTCATTGTTTAGTGACGGTTTTCATGGCTGAAGTAACCAAAGGCATAACATATTTATAATGTAATGAAAGAAACTAAACATATATTCCATCAGTTATGAAGCGATCTATCAGCCCAGGAAAAGAGTGGTGAAAGACATCAGAATCTCAACATTCTGCTTGGGAATCTTTGCGATATATGCTTTTGTTTGTTTGTTGTATCATTTGGTATGGATTGATTAGTTTGTTTTTTAACGTCGCACTCAGCAGAAATTCCAGGTATATAGCGGCTGTCTGAAAATAATCGAGAGTCTGACCAGAACAATCCAGTGATTAACACTATGTGCATCGATCTAGGCAAATGGGATACAATGATATGTGTCAAACAAGTCACATAGCCTGACCACCCGATCCCCGCCTCTTACGATAAGAATGGGTTGCTGAAGACCAATTCTAACCCGGATCTTCTCGAGTCTATGTAGCTTGGATATATGCACACTGACTGAGACATACCATACATCTGTGTTTCTTTACGAAAAAAATGATGTATTATATACAACTGCCTATTTTACACTCGTACCACACGTTCAAGTGCTTTCTCAGGTATATGGCGGATGCCAGCGGTAGGGCAGGATTCCCTCACCTCTTCGAGGACCCTTGGTATAATCATTATGTGATATTGATTCATAAAGACACGCTCCGATGGAGGCTGGAAACCTGCAATTGTAACTTTTATGTGAAAAGCTTTATCGTTTTCATTCCATTTTGTGATCATATATATCTACGACGGTATTTGTATTAACTATGTTCCGATGATCCACATAGAGAAAATACGTTTACGGACATGTCTATCGCATTGCCTTAGTAGCAAAGATCCAATCACTACATTAGTCTAACATATTTCCTACAGTGTCATAAGGTGAACCAAGCTTTAAGAGTTTCCGTGGCTGACGGTTGCCAGAGTAATTATCATAGTTAAATATGAAGACAATAACGTTTACGGGCATGCCTATTGCATTTCCTCTTTAGCAAAGGAATAGTCACTACAATAGTCTCAGCATATTTTCTGCAGGTCATAAGGTGTAAAAAGAGTTTCCGAAGCAACGGTCGCCCAAAAGAAATCACCATTGTTAAACATAAAGAAATACCTATATGGGCATACTATTGCATTAATGTATCAAAGGAATGATCACTACAATAGTCTCACATATTTCCTGCAGTGTCATAAGGTGTAAAAAGAGTTTCCGAAGCAACGGTCGCCCAAAAGAAATCACCATTGTTAAACATAAAGAAATACCTTTATGGGCATTCTACTGCATTGATGTATCAGAGGTATGGTCACTATTTCCTGCAGTGATAAGGTGTAAAGAGTTTTCGAAGCAACGGTTGCCCAAAAAGAAATCACCATTGTTAAACATAAAGAAAGCACTGGCATGCATGCTAGTAGCATTATCAGTGACAAAGGAATGACCACTAAGCAATAGTCTCACATATTTCTTGCAGTCATACGGTGAACTAATAGTTTCTTGAAGCTATGGGGTGCCCTAGAGAAATGATCATAGTGGTCGCCGGTCATGATGGATTCCGCCTAGCTGTGCAACTGCCTCGCTACAGAAGGCCAGTGTCGTAGTCATTCTGGAATGTCTTGCTGTTCATCTTTGAAAGCAAGATTTCAGATTCCATACTCATCTTCCCCGCATATGCCCGTCTTAGGAGTGTGATTGAGTAACTGAGGACGTTGTGTCATAACTGAAGCAGGTCATGGTTGGTTTGTCATCAATGAGATTATAATCGGATTCAGCAACAAAGGCCTCCGGGTCCTGTCATAAGGTTGAAGTGACGTGCCATCGGCAGTAGCATAATCACAATCACTTGAGCTGTCCCAGGCCTTCAGATCCCCCTGCAACATGTTTGACACTCAGTGGGATGTTCCTGGCCAAATAATATGTATTAATATCACTCTTTACTGTCAGAAGAGAGTGTGTTTCGCTTCTCATGCACATTTCGACCTCTGAAAACACTCGAAACAATAGTAAGAACTCTCAAAGAAAGCACATGCAATACACATACATAATACAACCCATGAACATTCAATGAACTCATAATTCTAAAACACACATAACCTGTTCTACCACTGTTATATGACATTCGTAA